TTATTGTACGTAATTTTACGCCATTTGATAATTGGCTCATACAGGTGCAGTCGAAACAAGGATTATACGGCCTTTCGAAAATACAAAATATGCTTCACGGATTTCTGGATAGATCTCGCGCTCGTATACACGAGCATTCGCTGCACGTAATCAGCTCATGACTGACAGACTCTCAGTGACGTTAGGGCTGCGTACGAAGCCGGGAGGGTGCAGATCTGTGGATAGCAGAGCCGGGTGTTTAATCCAGGAGAAAGGACGTCAGGCCGAATGGTAACGTGCCCGAGGCCGCATCAGAGCCTCCTTCAACATTAACTGTCGCGGAGAGAAGGCTCTCAAGGGATTCTCGCAATTCAGCGAAGCGGGGTCGCTCCTCGGGCCTGTACTTCCAGCAGGGCACCATAACGGTGGCGTAGATGTGGTCGCTGGCGAACACCGGCTTCGGATGAATGAGCCCCCGCCTGAGCAGATCAAAGAACTCCAGAGGAAATAGGTGTCCAAAGGGCGTCTGGCCAATCGTGAAGATTTCTCACATCATCACGCCGAAGGACCACACGTCGGAGCTTGTACACACACACACACACACGACAGTTCGTCCGTCGATTTCGACGATGACCACCGTGTGCCCCACAGACTGCATTGTGGGAGCAGGGACGGTGACTTACGCAGGGGTTTATAGTGCCAGTAGACTTGCGTAGCATCTACCTACACTCTCTCCTCCTCCCCCGCCTGGGCCCGGTGTCAAGACAGAGTCAAGAAGACCGGAGACGAGGGAGGCCGCAGGTGGATGGCTCGGACGGATCCTCACCTTGGCGTTCCACCACACCCCCTGGTCCACACAACAATAACCAGGATTTCAACCAACACAACAGAGATTTGGAGGCTGGCACGGCCGAAGCCGCACCTGGGCGTGCCGCCAACGCCTGGCTCGGATCCCACACTGTGGTGGGAATGCCATAAAGGCCACATTAAAAAGGAGCCATTGCAGCCTGACTCTCAGACCGCCTCCAGTGAAGGAGGAGGTCCAAGGTACCCCGTCAGTTGGCAACCTTCCAAGCCACGGCTTTTAGCGCACCGTGATAGCTTCAAGCGCGTCAGATTGTTTATGGTGAGGAGAAAGTGCGCTGAGTCGTCGACCTCACTCTCCCCATCCCCACACCCCAGCCGCTGTCCGAGCCGGTCAGAAGACTGGAGTGGGGAATGGGCGCGGTGGCTGACATGGTCGACTGACCATGCCTGCGCGCGCCACAGCACGACCTGGCCCCCCATACACACACAAATATAAGGATTTCACACAACGGGGGTTGAACGGCGTGTCTCTCACATGCGCGAGAGGGCCGTGGAAGGTGCTGCTTCAGCCCGTCCCCAGCCCACCAGTCCGCCACTACACACACACACACAACGCGACGAACTGCGTGAACCGAGAGCGGGCGTCAATCAGCAACCTTCCTATCCACGACACTTGACGTGTCGGGATAGTCTCGGACTCAAGTCACTCGTGCAGCCGAGGCCGCATGGGGACCGAGTCGAGATGCACACTTCCCACTTGCGTGGGAAGCGGCAGTTGAGTGCATGAGGTGTGTGGGGGTTGATGTCAGGTGGGGTGATGATGTTAGGAGGTAGGGAGTGAGGGAATGTGTGGTGTGACCGGCGGTTGTCTACCGCAGGTCGTCGTGGATGAGCATGTGGCCGTATAGACCCATGCGATGCGTGAAGGTGCGAGGGCAGTGTGGGCAGTGGAGACGAATGCGGTGGGTGTAGGTTGGTGCTCCAGGCACTGGTTCGCCAGTCTCTGTGCGATGGATTCGCAAGTGACCGACCAGGCCGATGCGTGAGGTGAAGGTGCGATCGCAGTGAGGGCAGATGTAGCCCTGGCCCTCACGTCTGATGATGGAGGTTGCAGGGCTTGTGCCTGTTGTTGAGTCAGGTGAGGCTGTGGTGAGGTCGTGGTCGACAGACGCCGAAGCGGCCGTCGTTGTGGCAGTGAAGGAGGAAGAGGAGTAGGAAGGGGGGGAGTGAGGGGTGGTGAGGTCAGTGGCGTCGATGTCGGCTGGGGAGTGGTTAGTGGGTGCACAAGGTGATGGATTGGGAGTGGGGCTCGGCGGGGTGGGTGTGTCAATGCTGCGATCAGTTCCGCTCTCGTGGATGCGCATGTGGCCGAATAGGCCCATGCGATGCCGGAAGGTGCGAGGGCATTGTGGGCAGTGGAGACGAGTGCGGTGGGTGTAGGTTGGTGCTCCAGGCACTGGTTCGCCAGTCTCTGTGCGATGGATTCGCAAGTGACCGACCAGGCCGATGTGTGAGGTGAAGGTGCGGTCACAGTGAGGGCAGGTGTAATCCTGATCCTCATCACTGGAATCGGGAGGGGTGGGGGTGGTTGCGGTTGTTGTGTCGTGGTTGGCGATGTGTGAGACGGCAGCCTGAACGGCCACCGCTGGGACAGTGGAGGAGAAGGGGGAGGATGGAAGTGGTGGTGCAGGAGGAGTGTCAGAGTTAGTTGGCGGCAGAGAGGACGAGGAGGAGGCGGGTTGGGGGACGATGGCTGGAGCAATTCGAGAGGTGCAGTTGGTTCGAAGATGTCCAACAAGTCCGATTCGTGCCCGGAATGTCCGTTGACATCGAGGACACGTAGGGAGAGGTTGTGCGGCGGCGTTGCGTATTGAGCGAAGTTGTGATTTGCGGGCTTCGCGTTTCGCTTTGGCGGCGGCGATTCGGTTGGCTTCATAGATAGCAGCGCCCGTCTTCACTGTTCTCCTCCATGTTGGACGATCGCGGGCGAGCTCTTCCCAGTTGGTGGGGTTGATTTGCAGGCGCTTCAGGGAGGACTTCAGAATATCTTTGTAACGGCGAATTTGGCCCCCTTGACGACGAGCCCGTCGCGACGTCTCCGTAGAAGAGTCGTTTGGGTAGTTGCTCGTCGTCCATGCGCACCAGGTGGCCGCTCCAGCGCAGCTGCATTTGTCTCAGTATGGCGTAGATGCTCAGAATTCCCGTCCGTTCCAGCACTTCGGTGTCGGGGATGCGGTCCTGCCAGTTCAGCCTCAGGATGCGACGAAGACAACTGAGGTGGAAGTGACAACTGAGGTGGAAGTGGTTCAGTCGGCGTGCCTGTCTCGTGTACACCGTCCATGTCTCCGCCCCATACAGTAGCGTCGGCAGGATGACGGCCTTGTACATCTTCAGCTTTGTGCTCAGTTGGAGACCGTGGCGATTCCAGACTGTGCTTCGGAGGCGACCGAAGGCTTGACTGGCTTTCGAGATCCTGTTGGCGACTTCGTCATCGATCTTGGTGTTGCGGGAGAGGGTACTGCCAAGATACGGGAAGTTCTCCACCACTTGCAGTTGGGTTCCGTTCACGCTGATTTGCGGCGCATTGGGGGCTGTGACTGAGTTGGGTGGCGGTTGATGCATCACCACCGTCTTCTGCGTGTTGATAACCAGCCCAAAGTTCTCGCAGGCGGCGGAGAATAGGTCCATGCTCCGTTGCATCTCCGCTTCGGAGGTGGTGTTCAGGGCGCAGTCGTCGGCGAAGAGGAGTTCGTGAACGGTGGTTGTGGATACACGCGATTGGAAGTTCATGCGCCGTTGATTCAGGAGATGACCGTCCGTTCTGTAGGCGATGCGGATCCCGGGACGTTCGTCGCGGTGGGCGTCCATCAGCATGGCAGAGAGTATAAGACTGAAGAGGGTTGGTGCCAGCACGCATCCCTGTTTCACTCCGTTAGTCACTGCGAATGCCTCGGAGACAGCTCCGTTGTCCGTGACTCGCGCCATCATACCGTCGTGCAGCTGACGCACCATCTGAGTGAATCGCTCCGGACAGCCGAATTTCTGCATGATCTTCCACAGTCCTTCACGATTCACCGTGTCGAAGGCTTTCGTAAGGTCCACGAAGGTAGAGTACAGGGGGGTCCGCATCTCCTGGCACTTCTCCTGAAGTTGGCGGGCGGCAAAGATCATGTCCGTGGTCCCACGATGACGACGGAAGCCGCATTGGCTTTCCGGCAGAAGGCCCTGTTCCAGATGGTTGTTGAGGCGGTTGAGAAGGATGCGAGCGAAGATCTTCCCGCCGATGTTCAGTAGGGAGATGCAGTGGTGATTGTCGCAGACTTGGCGATTCCCTTTTCGCTTGTAAAGGTGCACGATAGTTGCGTCCTTGAAATCTTGCGGGACTTCACCTTGACGCCACATCTCCTGGAAGAGCGCAGTCAGGTGATCCATCAGTTGGGGACCTCCGTGCTTGTAGACCTCAGCAGGGATTGCGTCCGATCCGGGTGCTTTCCCGTTAGAGAGCTGCTGCACGGCCCTGATGGTTTCCTGGAGAGATGGCGGGAGGTCGAGGTCCGCATTGGTCTCCACTTGCGGCAAGCGGGCGATGGCGGCGTCGGAGATGACGGAGGGGCGGTTGAGGACGCCTCGAAAATGCTCGACCCATCGCTGCAGGATTTGCGTCTTCTCAGTCAAAAGAGTGCTGCCGTCGGCGCTGAGAAGAGGAGCAGTGCCCTTCGTCGGCGGACCGTAGACAGCTTTGATCGCGGAGAAGTTCTTCCATTCGTTGCGGTCCGCGTAGCCTTGGATCTCCTCAGGTTTGCGAGCAGTCCAGGCGTCCTGCATCTCGCGCAGTCGTTGCCGAAGCTGTCGGCGACTGCGGTAGAAGGCAGCTTTGTTGTCCTCAGTGGGGTGATCTAAGTAGGCTTTGTGTAGGCGGTTCTTCTCTGCAAGCAGATTTCTGATGGCGGCGTCGTTGTCGTCGAACCAGTCCTGGTGTTGGCGGAGAGCGCGACCGAGGACGGCGAGCGCCGTCGACTGGACCGTGTCTCGCAGTTGACACCAGCGGTTATCCACGGAGGCGTTCTCGGCAGCGGCGGCAGCGATAGGAAGGTTGTCTAGCCGTTGAGCTAGCTCATTGCTGAAATGGAGACGGTGAGCAGGCAAAGACAACAAAGCAACATTCAGCTTACCTGGGGGTCGCTTACCTTGTGGTCTCCTGCGAGGCTGTAGGCGAATACGCATCTTCGAGATGACGAGGCGATGGTCGGTCCACCCGTCAGCACCCGCGATCGCCTTCGTCACCAGCACGTCCCGCTGATCTCGCCTCCGAACGAGGACATAGTCCAGCAGGTGCCACTAACTCGACCGAGGATGCCTCCAGGTTGCCTTCTCTCGCTCCGACAGACAGAAGAACGTGTTCGTCAGGATGAGGCGGTGTTCTGCGCAGGTGCGGAGGAGCAGCAGGCCGTTGTCGTTGGAGCCGCGGAGACCGTGAGGGCCCAGCACTCCCCTCCAGGCAGTATGGTCTGTGCCGACGCGGGCGTTGAAGTCGCCAAGGACAATCAACTTGTCCGCCTTCGACACAGTCGCCAAGAGGGCGTGCAGGTCCTCGTAGAATTTGTCTTTGACGGCGTCGGGGTTGGTCATCGGCGGAGCGTAGGCGCTGATGATGGTGGCGAACTTGCCTCCTCGCCGGAGGGGCAGGCGGAGGCTCATCAGGCGATCGTTGATGCCCTGCGGCAAACAGGGCAGTCGTCCCACGATGTCGGTCCGATGTCGTCGCTCTGCCCTGGGTCGACCACTCCAGAAGAAGGTGTAACCGGAACCCACCTCCTCCAGTTGGCCTTGTTCGGAGAAACGGGTCTCGCTGAGTGCGGCGATGTCCACCTTGTAGCGCGCCAGTTCTCGTGCCACTAGCGCCGTCCTCCGTTCCGGTCGGTTGCTCCTCGGATTGTCTAAAAGGGAACGAACATTCCAGGCTGCCAGAGTGAGCGGGCTCACCCTGCCAGTCTGGCGACTGCGGCGACGAAAAGTAGGAGTTGGAGAAGAAGAAGAATAGGCTGCAAGAGGAAGAGCGTGATTGTTGTTGTTATTGTTTCGACCGTGTGTATTTTGTCTGCGGCCACGGCCAGCCTACAGACAGCGTGGTTCTCAGCGATCTTTAGGGCACCTTTTCTAGCCCCCTCCCCCTCGCGGGGGCAGGCAACGCATCCGTGAACAGGGCTGTCCGGTTATCCCAGACGGCTGCCGGACTCCACTATGGGCCACGACTTTTTGTTAGTGAGAGAAGACCCGAATTAGCCTGGGACCTTGGTGGTGAGGTGATGATGTGATGGAGTGAAGTAGGAGAGAGCATACACGCTAACTAACGCTATGGGACTTAGAACTAGAGTGGACAAGCGGACACAGTCACCAGTCAGAGACAAAGTGAGGGCACCACACAAAGTCAGGCACCGTAACACCTAGCTAGAAGAGAGTGGCATAGACTGACGGACAGACAATCGCAGCAGGCATCGAGGGTGTCGGTTAGCTATTAACAGACAGACTAGCATATAAAGGGCAGGCAGCAAGCGCAGCGTACGACGCGGAACTTCAACACACAAAAGGAAGAAACAAAGAAAGCGCACTTACCTGAGGGGAAACTTACCTGGTGGCCGCCTACGATGGTCCAGGTAGAGCCTCGTCTCGACGATGTCGACGCGAAGATCCATCCGGCCAGCGCAGACCACTGTACCGCGCGTGCAGTTGCACGCACGGATACCCTCACCTGGTTTAGCCCGCCGGTCGAGGCGGTTGCCCGGAGTGTGGCCGCTGAGCAGAGCCCAGCTACGTGGAGCCACTGGTGAGAGTTAGGTGCCAGCAAATGGACGCTAGGCGTAGTCTCACCTGCAAGCAAGTGAGCGACCACTACGATCATCACGGGAACCCACCGCTGGTCACCCCACACACACACACACAGTGCTGGTGCATAGTGCGCATTTAGAAGAAAATAAGGGACGAAAAACAAAAAGGAGAAAGAGAAGGAATACATTTAATGGTGTGTTGCATTACCGCCGAGAGCAAAGACGGCGTTGGAGGAGGTGAGAAGAGTGAACCGGCAGCGAGGCTCCTGCATACCGGCCTGTTCTTTCCACTGGCCGAGGGAGCTGTGGGCGTCTGGCGGCGTAAACATCTCCACAGTGTTGAGAAATCGACCGTTTTTATCCACTCCACCGACGACCAGAATTGCCCCCCGAAAGGCCATCGCTGCGAGCCCCCATCGCGCAGTTCTCATGGGCTCAGCCGACTGCCAAAAGTTCGCTGAGGTCGCCTCCTGCCGCCGCGGCCGCCGACACCAGTCTGCTCGCAGATGGCAGAAGACCACAGAGACAAGCGTGGTGCGGCGTTTATCCAAACGCTTTCTTGAAATCGATGTGAACGACATCGACTCTTGTTCCTTCGTCTAACGAGTGGGACTACTGTTCTATTGAGTGGAGCATATTTGTTAAGCAGGGGTGGTTTCGTCGAAAGCCATGTTAGGTACTACCAAATAAGCCCTTTTCCCAGAGGAGCTGCATAGAAGTTTCTTTGGCTATTCTAAAACATGCACTTTAGGCTCACCGGCCGATAACTGCTTGCACATATTCTAAATCCACGCTTGTGAATGGAGTATATATTCGCCACTTTCCAATTAGATGGGGGAATGCCTCGGTTAAAGGATGACTGGAATATATACAAAAGCGTTCTGACGAGTTCGCAAGCCAGCTCCTTCAGAACTTTTGCCGGTATTTGGTCCGGACCCGGAGACTTACACATCCTTAGAGGTAAAATTTTTTTTCCTCACATCTGTGAAGTCGAGGTTTACCGTTATTTTGTCAGTTGTTCCAGTGGGCAATCGGTGTAAACAGATTCGAAAAACCGGTTTTGGTGTCCTGCCTCAACCTCATTTTCGTAAATACCCTTTCAACACTAAGACCGTCTCCTTATTCTTTAACCTACTGTTGATGTAACTGTAGAGCACTTTTGGTTTATCAACGGTCCGTTCCATAACTCGCGTTTTATACTCCTTCCGCGACCTGCGGATAGCCGATCTTACCTCGTTTCGCTTTCGCGAAACTGCTCGTAATGAGATGGTCGTTTTGTTGTTGCATACCTTCTCCATAGTTTGTTTTTCCGGTTTACTTCTTTCTTTATATCCCGCGTTATCCAGGCAGGACGATTCTTCTTTTTCACTCTCTTTGTCGGACAGTCTCGATGCATGATGTCGGCTACAACTCCTTTGAGAGTGTTCCAATCAACGTCTGGATGTCCGGAAAGAACATCATTCCAGTCCACTGCCGATAATTCCCTTCTCATGGCGGCAAAATCGCCTCGCCAGAAATTCAGCCGAGGCTCAGTCGTATTCACTTGT